GCTGATAATATTTGCACAAGAGCCTCCATTGATCACGAGCAATAATAGTTTCCCATCGACAATGCATCTGCTATGGAATAAGTTGTCTCTCTGTTCGTCGGATTCTCTGTGATTGATGACGACTGCTGGGGACTTCTCTTTGCCACAAAATCGAGGCTGTTGGGCCTTGGAACTGCTTGCCACCATCTCCTTTGCATAGAACAGAATTTCCCTCGAATTTCAAGTACAAACACATCTATAAAGGTACGTACAGGGGCTGCTCTGTTTTGCTCGAGAATTCTGCTTGTACCGAAGTAATTGATTGCTTTGTCTCCTTTGCCCTCGTGTAGAACGGGGCTCTGATACCACTTAATATGCCCCTGAGGGGTGTATATTATCAAAGTCACGCAGCTAACGACTCAATCGAAGAATCGATTGAGCTCGAATCAAGAACAAAGCGTTCTTAATACGAACTTGGATAAAACAGAACCAAAAGGACTATTCCACACCTTGGGAACGCTCGATTGGTATAGAATGGTAGTTGCTCGACCACGATTGAAGTGACTATTCAATCGATTCACAAGCTCAGCAAGTTTGGAATCCACCAAACCCAAAACAAGTTCGCAAACTTGAACAAACCAAACGGTTTCTTTTCGATTAATCAACTCTTCTTTACAACGTGAATTGGAAAGGTATTTAAAGACAATAAACCCTAATACAACCCTACATGAACAAGAAAACTAATTAGAACAGGAAAAGGCTAAAGAATTCGTGTAAAACAAGGTAACTTGCAAGCCAAGAAACTGACTTAAAACACAAGCAAGTCTGGCTAGGAAAACAGGCTTCATAGCATCTTTGAGCCCTTCGAAAATGGTCTTCTAGGTTGATTCGAACTCAATTAATTCCTTTCCTCTGTAGAAGTAAACTCCCTCTTTCACCTCCAACTTGAAACAGCCCGAGATCATTCTTCAAACTCCAGATATAGGCCTTCAAAGTTGGTATCTCAACACAGTTTTCTGCCTTAGCCATTTTCTGACAGTTTTCCAGTTTTGACGTAGCAACTTTGAGACCTTGTAAAACAACCTTAATGGCATCATCTGGATCCACAAAGCATACCATTAGGAAGATGGAAACTTTATATGCAAAAAAAAAACCTTAAAATTGAATTTCCACCAAGCCAATTGAGAGAACCACGCCTCCAAAGTATGTACCTTGAACACGGATTTTGACTTAGCCAAATTCTCCCCTTCTTCTTCCCAACTTCGATAGCTTCTTTGTCAAGTAATTGAATCGTGTCTAGTTGACCGTTTGGGATCATATCACTGATAGTTTATGAGGAGAATAGCAGTAGCAATAGTCTCATGCCAAAAAGAAGAGGGGCCATATGAAGAGAGCAAGAGAGCACGAGTGACCTCGAGAACATGAAGATTTTTCCTTTCTACCAAACCATTTTGTTGGGAGACATCAGAACAGGATTTTTGAGACAGAATACCGAGGGACCGATAAAGATTTAACAAGGGACCAAAACAAAACTACCCTCCAGGATCAGATCAGACTACCCGAACAGTTCTACCAAATTGAGTTTTAATCATAGTAAGGAATTCTGTAGCAACAGCCAAGAGGTCAGATTTGAGGCGAAGAAAATATACCCATGTGTATCGAGTAGCATGGTCAATAAAGAGCGCAAAATACTCATATCCAAGTCGGGAAATGGTACGGCTGGGTCCCCAAAGATCAGTATGGATCAAATCAAAGGGTTGAGAAATAGTAGTTTGACTGGACGAAAAAGAAATGCTCGTAGTCTTTGCCTCAATGCAACTGGTACAAGAAAAATCCGATGAACACTGAACAAGAGTATTTGGACCAAATAACTGTTGCTTAAACTTAGTAGCGAGTCTACTAGAATTAGGATGACCTAATCTAGCATGCCATAACCAAAAAGTTTTATCAGAGAGACTCGAAAAAACAGTAGGAAAAAGGTACGAGGCTGGAAGTTTGATGATGGTGGACGCAATTGCTCCAGGTAAAATAAGCGTTCCTTCTTACTACCCCTGCCGATCTCCCTCCCGGTTGTCGGATCCTGTACAACACAGCCAGAGGGTGCAAACGTAACACGATAACCTTGGTCAGTAAGCTGACCTACAGAAACCAAACTAGGAACCAATTTCGACACATGGAATGTAGATGAAAGCTCAATATCCGAACTAGTAACCTTTCCCATGTGAGAAAAATGTAACTTCTCACCATTAGCAACATGAAGGGACATATTATTAACAGGTTGAACTTGCGTAAGATGAGAAATATCCCCAGTCATGTGATTAAAACAAGCAGAATCAAGTATCCATTTAGGGATCTTACCAGAGACTTGCAAACTCGCAAATGCAGAGGAAATGGCCTTGTTGACAAGTTGTTCGAGGGCTCCCGGTGTCACAAGCATAGCATCCTAACCAGCAGCCTCCCCGACAGGTTGTGTCGCAAAGGCCTAGTGAGAGTGCGTTGCTCCTGAGCGAGCTACAGAACCTCCTCCACGATCCCCAGCATCTTGATTTCGACCTTCCAAGGAGGGGCATTCTGAAATTATGTGCCCCGTCTTCTTACAATAATGGCAATAGTTCCTCTTGTGGCAATATTTCTTTGTATGGCCGCGATCATGACAGTGGAAGCACTCAACGTTGAAGGATGACACTCGACGCTGGAAGGGCGCGCGGTACGCAACATAGGCCGAGTCACCTGATTCATCCCGCACGCTGGAGGAAATCCCATGAGTAGCCCCTGTGCCCGCAGCAGCAGCAACGCACGGTGACCGGGGCTGACCTGGTGCAAAGCTGAAGATGGTCATATTATCGCCACCGCCGAGTCGAGCATCCAAGGCTGCCTGTGTGCGAAGCCTTGTTTCTTCTTGAATCAATGACCCCAGGACCCCTTCAATTTTTAGATTATCTCGATTAAGTAGGGACGCACGGATGGTTTCATATTCTGGATTTAGGCACATCAGGAACGGCATAAGGCACATCTTCTCCCTCTCAGCCTTGACTTCTGCCGAGCCAACTGATGTGAGGAGAGACGCCATGACGAGGTCTTGCTCGGTCCAAAGATTACGAGTTGCATTATAATAGGAGGTCACGTCCAAATTTTCTTGAAAAAGACGAGAAATTTCTACCTCTATCTCGTATTGGCAAAATGTTGTGGCTGTGCGATATGTGTCCGCCAAATATTTCCACAGTGCGGCGGAATTAGGGAGCATACGTAGACCTAGGAGGATGGTGACGTCGACGGAATTGAGCAGGAGCCTGCGGACCTTGGCATCGTTCATCCCCCACTGTTGCACCTCTTGTGCCGTTGCCGGTGGTGAGGTTGGTCGAACCACCGTTCCATCAAGCCATCCCAACAGTCCCTTTCCGTCAATCAATGTTCGAAACTAAACTCCCATACAGCATAATTCTTTGAGTTGAGATGCGCGGTAATATGTTCAGACGACGTAGGCTTTGATACCATGTTAATCGAAACGGAAATATCGAAACAAAAACGCAAAGTGACACACAGAGTTACGTCGTTTCCTGGTTCAGGATGAACTAGACTAGTCCACGGCCGAAGCTATTTGTATCTCTTATTCAGCTTAGCTTCAATAGGTTCCATTACATCGATATATATACAAACTAGGGTGAAAACCCTAGACTAAACTCGGCTAGCCCTAGGAAACCCATACTGCCAAGATATGGGTGGGCTGAGGCCTAATTACACTCAACAAACAGATTATTAAACCAGTAGACTGCCTTGTCATATGTGTTTACTACTTTCTCAAGAGAAAGACCCCAAACCAATAGAATTGTTGCTTGTTTCGGTCGATTTTCATGAGTGCAAGTCAATCGGTTTGTTCGTCACCAACTCACTAAAGCTTAGTTTGGCCCTGCTGTACCTTTTGCAGAAGGAGCTTCTGTCTGGAGATTTTAGATAAGTACTTTTCAAAAAAAAAAAAAAAAACAGTTGAGTGTTTGGCTGTAAAACTATTAGAAGTGCTTTTTAATATGAGAGGAGGCGTAAATGACTATAAAGAACTAATAATATAAAATATGGATAAAAATTCTAAACAATAAAAATGAGTAAAAATGGATCTTGTTAGATTTCTTTTATAATAAATAATATGATTTTATAATATATTTTACTTTTAAAATGATATAAATGAAGGAAAATTATATTTTCTAAAATAAAATTAAAATATGGTAAGGATAATATTGTATTTACAAACCAGCTTTTCGCAGAAACTCCAAATTGGAGCTTCTGCTTTTATGTTATACAAAAGAGCTTTTCGGCTTTTCAAAAGCCAAACTTTTATAGGTGTTTGGCCCTGCTTCAGCTTTAGCCGAAAAGCACTTCTAAAAGCTGGGATTAGAGGTGGTCCCTTAAAAAGTAAATACATGTATTGTAACTCAATTTAAACCAAAAACAACTAAATCTCTACATTGCATGTATTGGCTAAATACACCACTTCAAATCACAACCTTCAAATGAGTTATTATGGAGGATGAGAGATTTTCTTAATTGAAAGGAATTGATGAATTATCTCGGGTAATGAATGGTCGAGTAGAAAAAAGTGCATAAGTCATATCTGTCAATTTATTTGCTTCCGAAACTAGTTTTGATTCTAACAGTTGCAAATGTAAGTGTAGAACGAACATTTTTAGCTTGAGCTATACTAAGAACAAGTTTCGAAGTCGAATTTGCGATCAGTTTTCTAATGATTGTTTAGTGAGATACATTGAAATGGATTTGCTTAAGAGTGCAGACAATTAATGTATTTTGCATTTTTTTGAAATATGAAAACTCATCGTGATGGTTTATGCAAACAACAATTCTATTAATTAGTCGGTTATTTGTTGATTAATAAATGAATTATTTGAATACTATTAGGGTTTAGTACTATTAATAAAAGGGTAGTCCTTATGTCCCTATCGTCGTCGAGTCCTCACCAAGATATCTGTTTTCCCAAAAGGCAGCAAATATATATTGGTTCAATCAGGAGGATGATCGGGACATCAATGGCGGAAGACGCTCCCATCAGCAAACTGGGGGACGATCTCGTCGAAGAAATTCTGATTCGTAACTTCCCGAATCTTAGATCCGCTTGCCGCAGCAAACCAGTATGCAAGCGATGGAACTCCCTCATCTCCCACGCCCGCTCCAACCGCCGTTTTATGTCTAACCATCGGAGCAACAACGACGGCCAGCCACCTCTGCTCCTCTGCAAGGAAAATCCCCTGCCTTCGCTCCTAAGCTTCCTCCAGTACCCGATGAATTCCGATCCAGCTTCGTCGTTTGGGATTCTTTCAAGAACTTGATTTTGTGCGGGTTTAAGAATTTGGTGTGAGACTACAATCATGAAAGGGCCATATCGCTCTTGATCTGCAATCCGTTTTCGAGACAATGGGTCACCCTTCCTCTGGAGCCCGAAACGATGACCATAACAAAGGAAGAGAAATTGATCTTTCGAGAATTTCGAGTTGGATCTGGACAATGGCCAAGTATTTATGTATTCCGACTATCGATTTCACGTTCTGGTTCGATACGAAGGGGATCCGGTGTATGAAAGGGGTTCAGAGCTAAACGTGTTTTATTCCGAGTCCGGAGAATGGTCGACCATAGTAATGAATCGTTGTATTCAACCTAACATGACGTCTTTATACGAAAATTTGTATTGGATGAGATGCGGTAGAGAAATTTGGAGGTTTGATCCTTCCCGTCCAAAATTACGTCCAATAACGATGAGCTTCAAAGGCAGGATGGATGCAGTTTCCCATTTTTTGACCTCACAGGGTGTTCCATGTAGTTGAACGTGATCGAAGACCCAGATATGATGAGCCTCACGATGGTGTTTTCGTAACGGCGGCGGCGGGCCTGAAGTTGAGAGGCTGGACTTTGTTTCTGTGCTCGCTCAGCATATGGAGCAGCCGAAGATTTTGTTCCTGCAATGTTATTGCAAACCCTCCAGGATTATTATTCGGGGCATCCCATTTTCGAAGACATCAAAGAGACTCTTGTTTTTTTCATGCAATTTGAGGACGGAGGAATTAGAGATCTTTGATGATCAGAGATGATGTACTTTTCTTGGGCGTTGGATGGTGTTGCACCTTGGACCACTTGTTTCTCTACACCGATTGATAGACCATTGATTGCACATGTTTTTACCCCTATTCTTGAGCCGTTTGCGATGTTGATTCTCGTAATTTAAGCCGATTTCACGCTAGGTTGTGCATTTATGTCATATTTCAGGGCTTAGCGTTGGCATCGAGGCGAAGAAACGAGTTTCGGGTCGAAAGGAGCACGTTTGGGTTGAAGTGTGCTGGAGGCGCAAAATACCCGTCCATGGGCAGAAATACCCGCCATAGCCTCAGCCATAGCCTCAGCCATGTCCACACTATATTCCCCTTGCATTCGCTTTGATGCGGCAAGAACAAACGTCCCATTGCTGTCTCTTATTACAACACCCAGACCAACTCCTCCCCCATCAAGCATAGCCACATCGGAGGTGACCGAGAATCTTCCCGGTCCAGGTTTTTGCCATCGCTTCGCACCTGGCATTCTCTCTTCGGGTTGCTCCACACCCTGGTGTTTTCAGTAGTCCTCGAGGTAGTACTTAGCTCGGGGCACAATATCAATCCCAGCTAGTTTTTGACCGTTCCAGAATTGTGCATTTCGTTCCTTCCACAAGAACCAGAGTAACACACTCCAACCTTCCACTTCTTCTTTTGCTTTCGAGTTCAGTACTGTTGTTACCCATTCTAGACAGTCACCAGAACATCTTGCCTCAAAACAATCAACAAAGGAGGATGTCCGCCAGATTTTGGAACCCCATTCACATTCGCTAAACATATGAACTTGTGTCTCCTTCTGGTTGCAGAAAACGCATTTATCACCCCATCTCAGATTGCGACTCGCGACATGGTCACCCGTTGGTAGCGCATCTCTCGTGAACCGCCACAAGAATTGCTTGACTTTTGGAGGGATTTGTAAAGACCATAGTTTCTTCCACAATTCCGGGCTGCCCACAGTAGTAACCCCCGCTTCCTCCTTAAAGTGTACCAACCATTGTTTGTAACCGTCCTTTACTGTGTAAACCCCATCTTTAGAACTACTCCACACTTGCACATTCATCTCCCCATCCCCTCGCAAAGGTATTTGGCAAACAGCTTGGGCTACGTCAGTTGGGAAGCAGGCTACAAGTAGGTTCTGATCCCAAACTTCATCTTCCTCGTCCACAAGATCACGTACTACCGCATCCACCGGCAGCCCCACCGGGGCAGATGGTACATAGTTGTCAAATCGGGCCGCTCAATTAGTACGATATTGTCCGCTTTGGGCCAAGCCCGCACGGATTTGCTCTTGGGTGTCCTCCCCAAAAGGCCTCGTACTAATTGGGCTAGGTGGACTCTAATATACAAGGGTTCCTTCCCTTGTATTTCCGATGTGGTACTTGGATTGTACCCTAACAATCCTCCCCTCAAGACAAGGACCACGAACTTCGTGTCCTCACCTCAGCGATTATCTTGATCCGCCAGACACCTTGTATCGATGGGCTTCTCGGTACAAGGATTTTCCCAGACGCGGAACTCTCTTTGATCCGCCAAACAGACGCAGATCGCAAATCCTGAGGCCACCGAATGAGGGTCCACCAAACTGACGTCCACCGCCCCGCACCGAACCAGGCTCTGATACCACTTGTCAAATCGGGCCGCTCAATTAGTACGATATTGTCCGCTTTGGGCCAAGCCCGCACGGATTTGCTCTTGGGTGTCCTCCCCAAAAGGCCTCGTACTAATTGGGCTAGGTGGACTCTAATATACAAGGGTTCCTTCCCTTGTATTTCCGATGTGGTACTTGGATTGTACCCTAACAATAGTACTTTTCAATACCTGGAACCCACCTATCCCCCAGATACGCACCATAGATCCATTGCCAATTCTCCAGCGAAGACCACTAACAAGAAAATCTTGAGCCGACATGATGCTACGCCAGATATAACTCGGTCGGTAGCCTAGGTGAACTTCCAGAACACTAGAGTGCTTATGGTACTTTGCCTTAAGGATTCGTGCAGCTAATGAGTCTGGTTTTTTTTTTTTTTGTAGAGGTTCCACAGTTGTTTCGCTAGCATGGCTGTATTGAAACCTCTTAGCTCCCAGAAACCCATCCCACCTTCTTCCTTTGGGCATGCCATCTCCTCACGCTTCACCCAGTGAGCACGACATTCCGAGCCGCGTTGACCCCACCAAAAATTGTAAATATGCCTCTGGATCTCCTCCAACTCCCCTTCAGGCATCCGAAAAACTGTCATCGCATACGAGAGCTGGGCTAGTGCGACAGACTTAATAAGTACCTCTCTAGCCGCTGCTGACAACGTCTTCTCCTTCCAACCGTTAAGTTTCTTCCGCACTCTTTCCTTCAGCTCCATAAATATCTCTTTCTTTGACCTCCCCGCCACTGTCGCAAGCCCGAGATATTTATCATGCTTCTCCACTCTCTTCATTCCAAGGATCCCGCTAGTCAATAACTGATTATACATGGTCACATTTTTACTAAACGAAACAGCCGATTTGGAGAAGTTAACCATCTGTCCCGATTCCTTTTCATAATTCAATAATATTTTCTTCAATTCCTGGCTTTCATGTGCAGTTGCCCGGGTAAAGAATTGTTGTTAGTTGCTACTCTAATTCTATTAAAATTCTTAAGCTATACTAGTTTTTTACCCGGCCAGTTGGCCGGATAAGCCCAAGTTGAACTTATCTACATGTTTGAACTTTTTGGATCTTGTAACATTTTCTGCTCTCGCTTCATAAGTGAATATGTGGTATGCCTATACCGAAAATTCTTAATATTTAATAGTTAGCACACTCGCTTGTGATCTTTTTATTCTCTGGTCATAAATCATGTCATAAAGGTTTATCACGTCTCATTTAGGATCGTATATAAAAGAAATTTCACCAACACGCTCAAATTTATTATCTTATACAACATATATCAATTCATCATTCTCGAGTTTGTACGAACTCTCAGCCAATTAATCAAAGTTCAAATTATTGGAAAAAGATACTTGATTACTGGATAAATTATGATTATCCCAATTAAAATTTGACACACATCCTATCGCTTATAATGATTAAATTCTCTAAATCTCACTCATTTTTATTGTTGATGTTCATGAAGTCTTTGTATAGCAACTTATGACAATTTTTCTATCGAGATACAAATTATTATTATCTTCCAATATATATCAGTTGCTAATATTTTAAGTTTGGACTAACCCTCAACCCATGCCTTTTTTCTTGATGTTCGTTTAGCATCCGAATCCAAGGCATTCATATACACTATCGAAGGTTCTCATCTTAACATGTTCCTTCAATGTATAATTTTTCAACTATTTGAATGTCCATTCGCTAATATTTCTTTATATTTGGTGTTTGTTCTAGAACAAAAATTTCATTACTTATATTAATAATTGGTAAAGTGTGTATACGATAGACAAATATTTCAGGTGCATTCAAAATTATGTATTCCTTGAATAATTAACTTATAATTTTTTAACAAAATATTTTGTAGCAAAATTTGAAAGTTCATACAAACATTGTGGCTTTTCACATGTATTTAAATTATTGGATGTATTTTAGACACATCTATTGTTAATATCTAAACATATATATACAGAGAGTTTATTTTACTTTCAACACTAATTAATACCTTTGAACTCAGCTCCTTAGGTGAAATATGATATGCCAAAATTTGCTATGAAATCACAGACTCACTTCTATATAGACTTGTTACAATTTTCTTACTAAACTCATATTTATTAAATATTCTTCTTTTGACCCAATAGCGCTCAGTTTACACTATTGCAACTATAAATCTTTTTTTGTTATATATGTGAAGTAAAACATTAATGTTTATTTATTACCTCAATCGTCGAATTTAGATTTTTTTTAGCATGAAATATGATGTTTAACGTATATCCTTAACAAAGATTTCTCTAAATTTCACACATTTCATTTTTCAAGGGATCTCGTGTCTCATCCTAGAATATGAAGTCAAAGTTCATCAACTATTATACTCAAGTCATTTTGGAAACTTCAATTTATAATCTTTAATAATAAATAACTCCAAGACTGAAAAAAAAAATTCTTAGCATATGATGTAAGACCTCAATAGAGCTTGCTCAATCTACATGACCTAGAGAAAATATGTTTAAATTATTCATTAAAATGTAAATTATTATTAAATTTTAGTAAAAATGAGCAGAAATTTACATAGTAATAATTAATCATATATTTTTTGGTTTAAAAAGTGTGATATA